ATTTTTTATAATCAAATGATAAAGCGTACGTTGAACTTAGTGATGACGTTCGGTTGATAGATTTAGCTTTTGTTGTTGATATAACAAGCCAGGGTTGCCACTCAAACGGGAGAATGAAATTCCCTGACATTTCCAGGTTTTCCAGGTGTGTTTCAAGAAAATTCCAGTCTATTCGCGTAATGTACGTTGGCTGTGCTAAGAGGTAAATTAATTATGGTATTTACTTTTATTGTGTGGCAAATTCACTTAATTATTCAATAAATCCCAGAGGACATTTATTCTTAATTATTCTTGGTATACTTTGTTTGATAATTTTGTTTACTTTTCCACTTAAGAAACGCCCACCAGCGGCCGAGCGGTAAAGTCGCTGAACACTGGTAGTTCGGTCCGAGGTTCGAATCCCGCGAACGGGCTGGCTGCATGGGTGTTTTCGTGGTTTTCCCCATGTGTAACGTGTATACGAGCCAGTTTCCCTTAGAAAGTCCTCCACGAAAGGCATCCCTCCTCTTAGGCAGATAGCCCTAGTGTGCTTTGCCATAATTAAATACACACATACACACCACTTAAGAAACTTAATAAAATTTAAGATATATACATTGGATAACAAATGTATGTTTTATTTAATTATTACTCATGATCATCACCAGTTCAAGACGAGGCTAATCCGTTTGTTATAAATCACAATGCAATGCTAAATATTTAGGTTAGATTTTAGGTAAATTTAATTTGTGTGAGGTATGTTCTTAAAAGGCACCTAACACTTGAAAACACAAATATAATAGTTGCTGTTTTCTCCACTGAAGATTGAGATTAGAATCTTCGCAATCTGGAATAAAATAAGGCTTTTTTTGCAGACATTCTGCATCTAAACGAAAGAAAGAAATCTATTTTAATAAATTGAGGTATTTTATATTATTTTTTCGCAGCATACATAAGGAAAAAATATGTGCATTAAATTTCGTGATGGTATGTCATCATACTGCTAGAATTAATTTCAGGATTATGCCAGAGAAAATTTCCTGAAATTTGGAAATATTATTTACTAATAATAAATTTAGAGGGAAGAAGCAACATTAAATTATATGAATAACATAAAAATAAAGATAATTACTTAAAAATTGAATTAGAATAATCAACGATATTTTAGCGAATAATGGTTAGCCTAGATGACTGATTACTATTTTTTTACTTTACTGCAAAATGGCAAGGTATTTATTAAAAAAAAAAAAAAAAAAAAAAAAAAAAAAGGTTTTGCGGTAAAATTCTAGTATACGGTAAGGCGTTGGCACGATTTTGAAACTTGTCGCCAAGACCAAAATGACCCGTTTACTGCGCACCATCATGTCGCCAAATCCCATTGTACCATACATGGAGATTATTCTAACCAAAGAACGTCTATGTAAAGAAGAAAAGGTTCCATACAAGTAAAATGTTATTACGCCGCTAGAATGCGGAGGGAAAATTTGCCAGAATTTCTCCTCTCCGCGATGTGTACAGGAAATTGAGAAACACGTGTTAAGAAGAAACGTTCTTTGACAAAAAAGAAAACTACGAAAAATCCGTTTTTAAATTGAGAAAAATCCAAGAAGAAACGTTTTATCAAAGGACGTTTCTTCTTGGATTTTTCGCAATAATTTTAAAAACGGATTTTCGTAGTTTTATTTTTCCCTGAAAATAACTAATCCATGAATTAATTTACTTGCGCCAAAAAATATTTTTTTTTCCTTTAGTTTAACCACTTGCGCTAAGACTAAACTTCACGGTTGCGGTGCCGTGCGCTACAATATAACAAGCGGTAAAGTGTCTCATTTACGCCGCTCCGCATCTGCGAGTGCAATCCAGAGCTGTAACTCGAGAAATAAACAATCTCGTTGTTAGGCGACGTGTGCACCACGTTATTTTCATTTTTGCGATAAATGCTTATCGACGTGGTGTTCACGTCGCTCGCGGTTTGAGACAAAAGCATCTCGACGTGCGTGGCACGTCTTTTTAGCGCAAGTGGTTAAAGAAATTTTAAACGATATTCATTTTATGAACTCTTGATAACGTGACCTTCGAACTTCGACACCGGTTTCGAGCTTTGGCGACAGATATATCAGACATGCACAGCTGTTTCCCTCTATGATGGAACGGAGCCACGTCTGTTGCAGAGAGGTTTTCCTTCTTTACAATACATATTCTTTGATTCTAACCTCCATGGTACCGTATACTAGGATTAAACCCATTTTATTTTATACGAGAACAGGTATTTTCTTTAGTTCATGCACTGCACATGCGATTCTCGAGAATACTGGAAACCAAAAGTTGCGACACTCACGTGATACACAATTCGACAAAAAAGTTCTCTCTTCCGACGTCGGCGCAAAAATCGCTTTTTTTTTTTTTTTTTTTTTTTTGGCGGGATCGTTGTATGAACTTCCCTGACGTTTCCAGATTTCGACAAAAATACTTAAATTCCCTGATTTTTCCCTGAATTGTTTGGTCAATTTTCGAATTCCCTGGCACTTTCCGGTTCTCCCGGTTTTCCAGGTAGCGTGGCAACCCTGACAAGCCATCTTAATGAACTAAACTTACAACTGCAAAGAAAATAAACTTAAACAACAGTAGAATTGATTGGATTTGTTAATACTTTCATAAAGAAATTAAAACTAATTAATATCTTCTTAGTTGATGAAGAATGAACTAAATTTCAAGAAAGAATTCTAAAAAAACAATCACTAAAGAAGTCTCTTCCTCTTTTGAGGAAAACGAAGTTTATCTGCTTCAGGATGATATAATTTTAAAAGCATGTAGTTCAGAACCTAAGAGTAACTTTTGAAATCTAATGGACGAAGTAAAGTATCCTAATTTAAAAAAAGCTGCATTTCATTTAACATCGTTCTTTGGCTTTACCTACCTGTGTGAATCTGCATTTTCAACGACGAATATAATTAAGACAACATATCGTCCCTATCTCACAGATGACCGTTTAGAATACAGTGCAAGATTAGCAGTTAGTAGTTATATGCCCAGAAATTCAAAACTGTTTGATAAGAAATGCATCATTTGAAATTATTTGTGACTATTATTATTATGTTGTATCTTGCGTTTTGCTTTAGACACGGTTTTGAAAGAGTAAGTTTTTTAACTAGGTAAATACATATTCCGTATTTATTATCAAGTTATAATACATACTGTAAACATTTTTTTTAGACCGCAACACCTTGAAAAATTAGAAGTAGCCCGTACCCTGCAAGAGTCTGCCCACCCCTCATTTACAGTATATAGTTACATTATATGGTAATCCAAACTTTGTTATGGTACAATATAGTACGTATGTTGTCACAGAAAACACTACAGTACCACTGTAATTAATTATTGCACTGTTACTTGAGAAAAATGTACTTACAGATAATTTTTGGGTTAAACATTCCTAGATATTGCGCTATAGCAGACGGGAACGAAAATGCCTAGTAACATCACGGTCAACTGTATGCATGTCTTCTGTAAAACTAGTGGTGAACACGGATGTTCTAGCCAAACATTCTACAACGTCCAAAGCATGTAACATTTCTTGGCAGGTAAGCGGAATGACACTATCCTTCTTACTTTCTTCTGATGGCATTTTGGCACCTCAGATATAATACTGCCGTCATCTGCACTAACAAACGACTCAAAACGGAACGGAACATTTCTGAACACAGCACTAGCAAAGAAATAACACTAACAAAAAAAAAAAAAAAAAAAAACTTGAAAGTTTGTGTTAAATGGTAAAAATCTAATGACGTAGTGGACTAGAAAACAGTCCGTAATTCGTGCTAACTGAAATTCGCATTAACCGATAAAACTTCCTTAAGATCATATGCATCGCTGCCAGTACCAAACTTTTGTTCATGTTAACCAAGTGTTTGCCTTAAGTGAATTCATGTTAAGGAAGGTTTTTTTTTTTTTGTATTACCATCAATTAACAAAATTCACTCAGTTTTAACAGAATAAAATTTACTGTTTCTTAAAATACGAGATTTTGTATTAATCTGAAAATCAATTACTTTTTTGTTTGGCTAAATCAAGCATTAAATTAAAGTTAAATAAAAAATCAGTTCCTACTTATAGAGGTAAAAATATTACCGATGAAAATATGTTCATTTAATTTTTTTTTTTTCTCGGAACAAGATCCAAACAAGATTTCAGTTGTACATACTTAGCAAGGAAGGTATCTTGACTTCATAACATTATAATGAAACATCATTTATAATGCATTCAAATTTTAAAGATCACAATTCATCCTCTAGCAAGCTCAAAAACTTGCTAAAATAACAGCCATTTCAACTTAGAAGCTGGAACACTTGATACATCAGAAATAGTGTCTACCAAAAAAAATTTACATTCGATTGTCTGCAGCAGATAAATAGGCGACAATAATTTTTCAGCCCGCTCAAACGGGACAGTGGTTAGCGATGCTGACTGCCATACCGAAGGGTCTGGGTTCGAATGCTGGAGAAGGCATGGATGTTTGTAAATGTCATAGGGGCACTCTAAGTATGGGGCGAGCCAAAAGTCCTCTCGAGAGGCTGTGGTAAGGAAAGAAGGGGGAGACCTTCAGACCTGTCCCCACCCTGGGGTGCGCGTTCTCAAAATTAAGGGCGTAGCTGAGCTTAAGTCAGAATGTCACCTGTATGGTGCTCAAGGCTCTCGCCAACGATAAGCACATTTGGCTCCTGGCTACAATGAATGTCATGGGCTTGTGCTGACCTTTGTCAGACAAGAAAGATTGGTAACAACAGAATTTTTCAGCAAAGCAGTCACTGTCACAACACTTGGCCATTCTTACTTTTTGTATTAAGGTCAAATTTATGATGATACCAACCCTGATCGAACTTTGTTTTTCAGCACTACAATTCCGCTGGGAGCAATACCGATGACAATTACGGTTCTTAGCATGAGAAATTTTATATATTCTAATATTTAATCTTTCTGTTTTCGCGAGCAGAAGATCTTCAAGCAAGTCAAAACAACTCACAGAAAATTCATAAAAAATTTAATGAGGCTTATAAACATAATTTGAGCAATTTACATAAATTTATAAAAAATATTCGCATGATTTTAAACAATACCTTTAATAACCTAATTTCATGTGAAAAATGCAGTTTGAAAATACTCTATTGCTTATCCAGAAATATCTCCACCTCAAAAGGAAATTCAGATGAATTTAAAGTTTGTCTGAAAAGCTGAGCGTGTTGCCATGCTTGATTTCCACTACCTTCTACAAGTTCAGCAGTTATTGTCAAATTAGTTGATCCCCTAAATTCATCAGTCTTGAGAGGAACAACATCTAGAAGATAGATATAAATCATTAAAAACTTGAAACCACTCATAAGATATATAAAAATTTTCATTCAGTTTACAAATAAAGAAAATTTAAAGAAACATTCCATGCACAAGTTGAAAATTAATTTCTCATTACATGAAAGAATTATTAAATACCTCTTTGACAATTATCAAAATCTCCAATATACTACAGCTGGAATAACCAAAAATAGCATTTATTTTTAGATGGTTTTTCTTATCAATGGCATTGATTTCGGAGACATTTGCAAAAAAAAAAAAAAAAAAAAAAAAAAAAAAATTGATTTTTTAATAGGGAAGCTATATACTAATTGCTAAGAATATATTAATAATTTTAATGTTTATATTTTTGTATATTTCCTGGCTCATAAGCAAGCCTCACTTAGAATCTATTAGTACAGTTTAGTAATTTGCGCATGGCAACAGAGACAGATATACAAATTCTAGAAATATGTAAAAGCATTATTATTTTCGTTCGTGATAATAAAGACCTTTTTTCATTGAAACTGATTTTATTCTGTGAATAATCACCGCAGGCATAGTTTTTTTTATTCTAATGACTATTTTAAAAGCATGATGTGAATTAAATGCTACTTCATGCTTTAATTAAATGCTACTTCATGCTGAAATGTGATTTATGTTTGTAAATAATGAAAGCTAGAAAAGTTGGTGACTTTTTCTTCTTGTAAGCTTTAAGATTTGTGCAATCCTTGGCAAGACTATATTTTCTGGAGTCCGTGACAGAATACAGAAAGGATCCTGAATTTGTTCAAGAGTTTTTAACAACTGCTAATGCGGATCGAAAAGGGCAAAGACAAATTGAAAAGGATAGCCTGGATTATGATCTTCAAAAAATTAGAATGACTCTTAAGCTTCAAAAAACGAAAATGGGTCATGAAACTGAAATTGGCAAGAATCCAAGCACAGAATCTAAGTGACTCATTTTCATATATTTCTGTTTCTGATATAAATAGTTTGAAACGAAAGTTTAAAGTTGTATATCATAACTATTTTTTATGTTTGGATCCTGTAACTTTGAAACTCCACTTTCTGCTGTCCTATTAATCATTTTCTCAACATGAGAGGAAAAAATAGAACTTACATCCTCCTTTACGGATCGAGTTTCCATTAAACCATAACAAACTTTTTATGTTTGTGTAGTGACAGCATGTTTGTAAGATGCAATACAAAAATTCACCAAATTTGCTGCTACGACCTCTGTCCAGAAAAGGTCCGTGAATGACGCCATGCTGCTGATGATCGTCCACGCCAGATAGGTCCTGAGGCAGTTCCCGAGTGGCGGAGGGTGGAAAAAGCTCATTGTAGAGTGAAGATATTGAGCGTTCGGTCAAAACTCAAAATGGATCAGCAAACAAATACGCTGTTTTGTTTCAAACCTGGAAAATCAGCGAAAAAGACTCATGAAATGTTGACAACAGTTTGAATGTGTGTCACCTTGAAGTGCGTGCATGAGTGTTTTAAACGCTTCCAGGAAGGTCGGGGCACCACTGAAGACTCTCACCGAAATGGTTGGTCTGCAACTACATGCACCCCGGACAAGGTACAGGTAGTGAAGGAACTTTTGGTTCAGGATCGTCATTTGACAGACACTGACACACCGGACGAAGGACCTCCATCCCAGGTCCTCATTAATCGTCATTTGACAGTTCGAGTGTCAATGGAAAAAGTGGGAATTGGTCGTGAGACGGCCCAACTCATACTGATCCACATTTGGGTAAATGCAAGCTTAGCTCCCGACTCGTGCCTCATACTTTGACGAGAGAACAAATGCAACTTCGGCTTGATGTCTATGGAGACCTCATCGACATGGCGGATCGGAACCCAGACTTCCTGAAAGCCATCGTCACGGGTGACGAGACCTGATACCTGAGGCACGACCCTGAAGTATCAGATTCAGAGTATGGAGTGACGGAGGTCCAGGGTGATCGAAAAGCAAGGTGAGAAATGAGAGATCCCGCATCAAGGCAATGCTAGTGGTGTTCTTCGACTCTGAAGGTCTCATACATTTAGAATTCCTACCCCTGAAATATCTGCTGCAACGGATCAAGCGACTACATCCCCAGCACCTCAAGCAAAGCAACTGGACCCTACTCGACGACACTGCCCGGCCGCTTGATGCGTACAGTTTTCATCTAGGTAAGGAGCCAAACTTTCATCTTCTTCTTTGAATGACTCTTAATTATCTATACTAATTTCAGCTCTGCTTTTTGAAATTCGGATGAAGTGAGTTCTGCGATTTTTCGTCGTTCTTTTTTGCAGAGACAATTATTTCTAAGTCTTGAAATTCAACCCACGAAATGAACTATTTGTGAATATTTACAGAAATACACTATTTGCCAATAAGTATTTAAATATGTGTGATAGAAAAGAAAAACGATATTTATTTACATGTAGTAGCTGGTAGAACCTCCACGAGCGGCAATTACAGCCTCAACACCCCCCCGGGGTATGCTTTCCAGAAGTCCTTGTCAGCATATTGGAATTTTTTTCCACTCGGTTTGGAGCAGACATCTCCAAGCCAAAGTTCTTTTCATCGATGCTGGACGGTTTTTGCACCCTAATTAGGTGATTCAATTTGTTCTAAATGTTCTCAATAGCTTTGGACAGCTCAGTCCATTCGGTTAACCTCATTGTCATTACATCAATCCATGGTGGACCTCGCAACGTGACAGCTGGTGATGTCATCCTGAAAGTAACATGGATCCAACCCGTAAAACTGTCGTAATGAAAGAAGCACACTGTCATCCAAATTAGTGTATTAGGCATCGGTGTTGAGTTTACCATGAATATGGACCAAGGGTTCAGTCCATACCAGGTGAAACAACCCTAGATTATAATTCCACCTCCTCCTCCACCGAACTTTACCATGGGTACAATGCATTCTGGCAGGAGGCGTTCTCCAGGCAGATGCCAGAGCCAGACCTGCCATCTGAATATTAGAAGGTGAACCTTGACTTATTGCTCCAGAGAACTCGTTTTCATTGATCAATGGTCCACTGCCGGCGTGCTTTGCACCACATTAACCGAGCAGCGTGATCAAAGGCTTTACGGGCAACAGCTCGACCATGAAAACCAAGCAGATTTTGCTTTCTTACAGATGGTATTCATCGAAATAATACTCCCGGTTGCCTGTTGAAACTCTTCGAATATGTGGACCATCGGTTCTTCCGAATTTCTCTGGACAGCACCCGTTGGTCCCTAACTCCCAGTTTCACTCGTCTGCCGACTTGAAGCACATTCCGATAATCACCCCTCACCTTCCACTTCTGAATCACATAGGCCACTGTCGAGTTTGGGTAATTCCACTCACTCGATATGCCCTTTAAAATCGGCCATTTTTGTGATACTCGGTATTACAGCTTTATTGAAATCAAATAACTCTGCACTTGGTGGCATCTTGCATGCCACTAACGCCAAAGCTTTTTTTTTCCTGCACGATATTCATTGTATGTCAGGACCGCAGATGTCGGCATTTTGAATGAGTGTCCAAATACTTATTGGTAGATAGTGTATGAATAGATACTAGTCAATATTTTCAATGTTAGTCAAAGATGTTGTAAATTTTAACTTATATTTTTCTACCTCTTTTTCATTAATGTCTTCTGTTGGGTAGAGGCCAGCCAATTTTTTTTCCTTATGCGCATGCGTATTAATTATGGTGGCGCAGTTGTCTCTTCTCTCGACACATCCGTCATATTTCTTTACTCTAAATATGGGCCTCTGAACAACATCTTCATTGAAGATGTTTGCAAAATCTAGTAGGTTCATTCAACCAATGTGGACCATCCCACCATCTGAGTGGCAAAAGCTATGTTTGTTGTACAGTCCAAAGGTAGTAAGTTAGTGGGATTCAGTTCACCACCTACATGATTTTATGTGAAAAGAGAAGTTAAGTTTTTTTACTTAATTTCGCACAAACACTGACCAGTCCTCCTCTCTAACTGTGCTACTTTGGTAGACGGTTGCACGGATTTTGGCGAGTAATACGACTTATGGTAAACCCATTGCTGGATAAGTTATTTATGGTACCCGATACTTTGTTGTCATTTTATTTAAAAAATAGTGCGTTTTATTATGCATAAATTCCGTGTTTTAAATGTTATTTATGGCTTCTAACTATTAAAAATCAATTTAATTTTGCATTTTTATTTGGAATAAAAATTTTATTGTTTATGATATTTTATGTTGTGGATGATGTAATCAATGACGTCACCTAACTTTAAAAGTAATTAGTTTTAATATCTATAAATTTAATGTTTAAACATTATTTATGGCTGTTAAATATTAAAATACAATTTAATTTTGCATTTTTTTTAAATGATTTTATTATGTATGATTATTTAAATAATTTTAATTCTAGGCGTGATGTAATCAGCTCTCTGATTGGTTATAGAATATTTGTGCATTTACGAGCTGTAATCAGCTCCCTGATTGGTAACTGAAAATTTGTGCATTACCGCGCCATTTTAAAATTTAATTCATATCTTGGAATTCCTTCAAAGATAAATGTTGTTATTGGTAAGTACCAAGAATTATTGGTATCGGAATCAAAAAATTGTCCTTTGCACTTCAGGGAGGGGCGATTAAAGGATCTTCGAAATCTTAAAAACAATACCCATTATTGTTTTTTTTTTTTTTTTTTTTTTGTTATTTTTAATTTTTATGATCCATTAATTTGGCTCTAAATTGCTTTATCGATTTATAATTTTTTTATTTTTTTTTTTTTATTCTTGCCCTTGATATTACATTTTTCAAATTTTTTCATTGATATCTAAATTATGATTCCGGTTTTTTTTTGTGGTACTTATCAATAAATGACAGGTTAAATGACTCAAAAAAATGTAAGTACATATTTTTCTGTTATTTTATAATTGTATACTTCAATTTTTGTTAAAAAAATTAATGCACTATTTTCAAAAACTGCTGAGATAATTATAGTCACATATGTTTTAATGTTAATTATAT